AATAAGGTCGACAAAGTGTCTCCAGACGTTAGCCGCTCCGCAGTATCATCGACACCTCGTTTGGACAATACAGCATCGTTCTCTGGTAATGTCCAAGGTACATCACATTCAAGTATTGGCTTGTTCGCTGGCAACAAAGATATCGTCCCAGTGGATACTCCCTCCCACTACAACGCCGAAGCTCCTTCTCCCAATAAAGAGTCTAGCTTATCGACTGATGATATGGAGAAGTTTTGCCAGTTGGTCGCAAAAACCAGGAACAGCAGAAAGCTCAACCAAGAACAACTCGCATCCATACTCTGCAAATCATATCGTGCACCATTTCCAAAATCAAAAGATTCTGTCTATAAATTTGAGAAAGGCATGTTTAGTGCGCAGCAAATGTTAATATTGTACCCTATATTCAAAGAATGGATAGAAGGCGAACGCAGCAATGATAGTCCACGACGTACTATAAGTCCGGTAACATTTTCAAGACTTGGCAGGTGTGGCAAGCGGCTTTCACAAGCCCAGTATGGTATTCTAAGGCATGAGTTTGGTAGAGATCCAAAGCCTTCTGAACAAAAAGAAATTGATTTGGCTTCCAGGTTTGGCGTACAGCAAGGAGTCATACGTCAGTGGTACATCAACTATCGCTCGTCCTATGCGGGTCGCATTCAGATGAGAAGTACATCTAGCACTGAAAAATCTAAGGATGGCCAAAACCAAACTGAAGAAGAGCCCCGAAAAGATGAAGGTAGAGATTTTAGAAGATAAGTGAATGACATATACATGCCCTGTACCCGAAACATTATAAGCAGTAATAGTATTAGTGACTTGAAGTGACTGACTTCTATTCCAAACACCCATTTTGTTGTTTAACCCACCTTTCGTTTTTGCGTCTCTACATCTGAGAAATTGTTCCCAGTACATTGCTGTACGTTTTGTACATTTTCAAATTTCATTCGATATGTTCATTTATGTACCAGGACTATTTTCAGCTCCTATCCATACAGGTTTTCGTTTGTAGCTTTCAATTGCTTCACTTAACTTTCTATTACTGATATCCTTGTGTGTAGGTGTAATGTTTCGACGCAGTTATAGAGTTAGAAATAGCCTAGTGTTCTAGTCTCATTACCTCCCTCGCAGTATAATGATTACGACGTCAGATCTGAGAATGTATTAGTGATTTCTAAAAACAATTCACTAGTGATAAGAATGTCCACTGATGATGATTATTATTATTATTATTCTCGTATCCGTCCCGAATGGGACTCACGACGGCAGAATTAACCGTGAGCATGTGTGTGTGAGAGTGGGAGAACGAAATGAAAAAGAAAAGAAGTCTTGTAATAAGGTCAAATTTAAGAAGAGCAGTACTAGACTAAATGGCTGAGCAGATGTTACTCCATTGTTTTCTGTCGCGGACATAGGTGCCGAGATCACGAAGGCAGCTGGGCTTAAAAATGCAGATAGGTGTGAGGCGGACGTCTCGCTGGAGACTTGTGGTGAGGCAAGAGCGGGGTGCACCTATTCGAAAGGGCTGACTGGTAGCATATGTACAGAAAGCAGTGAGAGCAACATTCGCAGGGATGTCACTTGGCTGGCGTAATATATGTCCTAATAGCTTCCACCTGTCCCGCTTGGCCATTTCAGATACAGAGCACTGGCCAGTAACAGCATATAAATCTGCATTCGAGATGACATCTGGGTAGGTAATTCCAAGGGTACACCGCAGCTGTTTCCTATGAAACACATCTAGGCGCTTTTCTTGTGCACGGGACAGGCCATGGCAAGCAAGGTTGTAGGTCAAGATTGGTAGAACGAAAGTGTTGTATAAACGAATTTTGATGGGTGTAGAAAGCAGGTTGTGTTTGAACCATAACTTCAGAGTGTCTCCAAATGCTCTTGCGGCCAAGCCAATACGGCGCGTTACGTCCTCCCCGGAGCCGTATAGCGAGCCGAGTGTCTTCACCTGTCGCCAAGCTTCTTTACCACGAGTTGTGCCGACCTTTCTAGATGTTGTACCACACAAAGAGGTTCGTTATGTTCATAAAGAGAATCTCTTCCAATGCTTATTGCCCTCGACGACCTGTTCAGAAAATCAAGACATTCACATTGTTGGACGTTAGGAAGTTGGGCCAGTTTTTCAGTCAGTCTAAGCCATCACTCACCCACCTGCAAATAATGACCCTCATACCACTAGGTTCCCGAGGATTCCTACTCTGGGATGATATTGTCAGATTACAGCCAGATAGCATCAATTTCTCAGCACAGTCGTCCAGTAAATGATATACAGGACTGTCGCTTTTATTACTGCTGAGCAGGCTGTGAATTTCTTACCATATTAGGCAGATCCGTTGCCCCGAAGTAGGCATTTCCCAAATCGGCCCGATTTTTTCGCCTAAATGGCTTTATTTTTTAATTTTTTTAATTTATTGCAACATCTCAAGACTCGGCGGAAACACCGGCCAATATTACGAGAGTGGGTGATTGCCAACCACGGCGATAAATAGAAAGAAGGGGAGGGAAAAAGAAAGAGTAGCAAAACGAACAGCAACAACAACTCCGTAAAGAAAGATAATGTCAAATAAAAACAGTGAAAAACACAGAGACGCAAAGGACATGTGGATAATGAGCTATGCATGTCGTAGTAAATAAGGGGCGGCACGGATCTTAAACAGGCGGAGTGAGGTCAGGTCCTTAACTTCTCTGGGTAGAGTGAGCCAAACAGAATAAGCAATAAAGAGAGGGGAGCGCAAAAGAGTGGATGAGTTACACTTAGGGAGTAAGAGTGAGTTTCTAGTTCTTAGAGAAGAGAACCAATTAAAACACATGAGATGAGGTGGGCACAACTCAAGCTTAATAGAATGAACAAGAGAAGCCAGGTGTGCACTGCGTCCATGTGATAACGGGGTTGTGTGAGCGATTTTATAAAGGGCGGATGATGAGAGCATGCGGGGTAGACGGAGGAGAATTTTAAGGATTTTCTTGTGATGTATTTCAAGCTTTGCAGCAGCGGAAGAGGATAACCCAACCCAAGACGTATCTGCATAATGAAATATTGGGCGAAGGTAGGCGAAATAAAAAAGAAGCTTGCAAGAAAGTGGGAGGTAGGAGCAGTGGGGGGAGAGAATTCCTAAGGATTTACTTGATTTTTTACAGATATATTCGATGTGAGGTACCCAAGAGAGTGCAGAGTCAATCACAATGCCAAGGTGTTTGTGAGAAGACACTATGTCAATTGGATTTGGAAAGTTGGCATGGATGAGGGTTGTGAACTCCGGCTGGGGCGGGAAGAGCATGATCTTTGTTTTTGATAGATTTGGGGACAACCTCCAGGACGACATCCAGGAAAGAACTTCCTGAATGCCAGCACGCAAGTTGTTTTTCAGGCCAGTGAGGGAAGGTGATGAGGTGAGAAGGGTCGTGTCGTCAGCAAACAGAGACGTTCCAGAGAAGACTGCAGGTAAGTCGTTTACGTAAATTATAAATAGTAGGGGACCAAGAATTGATCCTTGAGGAACGCCCGACAATACTGGCTCTGCAGCCGAGGATGTGCCAAGCACAGTTACGTACTGATAACGCCCAGAGAGATAAGATTTCAGCCAGGAGAGTGGCTGTTTGCGTACCCTGAATGCATGCTCGAGCTTTGCCAAAAGTCCTCGATGCCAGACGGTATCAAAAGCCTCGATCGGCTAAAAGAAAGTCCAGGCTCGGCCATATTATGAGGCCTAAAGTCAGTATTTGGCTCAAAGCAGTACTTGAAGTCACCGCTCGCAGAACACGTGTACATTTACATGCACACTTTAGATGCTAGAAAACATCGAATTGCGCCGAATTCAGTGCGAAAATTAATGTGTAGATTCGTGGCAAGTATCGACGATTTCTGACAGCCATTGCTTTTGCTGTCTTTTTCTGCCGTTCGATTTCAGAAATGCCTAAAGTCTCAGCAACTTGTCGCAGTATAATGGTTGCAGAAATTGTATTTGCCAGATGTTGAAGCACCAAAACATCGAATTTCGGCGAATTAAGTACGAAAATTGCACATTTCGCGGAAAGATAAGTGACTTCTTCAAAACCACTGTTTTAGGCCAGTTTTTCGGCCGGCCGATTTTGGAAATGCCTATCTCGAGTGCACTGACAACACAATCCTTTGCAGGGGGGGGGGGGGGTGGTATCAATTTCCTGAAAAGCAGTGTCACCAATTCTGATAACAGTGGTGTCGATTTTGTAGCAGAATATTGACGTACTAAGTGTTATTCGAGAGTCCTAAAGGTGGTTTTTCCAACAAAACTTAACCGCGCGGAGAGGGGCAGCATTTCCACCGTGCATACTCACTTGTTTGCGTGTTTTCCTTTTTGTTACCCAAACCTGTTATTAGCTCACCCAGATGTGAAAAGCTCATACTTCGTCGATTTATCTTTTACACGTACATTCACATGCATAATTATTATGTTCTCTTAGGCTTATCGTCACATTGGAGACGATTTTCATTGATGATACGTGTAGTTTGAATGTAATCGATAAGGCCATTTGCTCATGCATATGAAATATAAATTCAAGATATGCACAGTCAGCTCAGGTGAGTGATATGCGTCGGGTGTGACGCTTGAGTGCTAAATCCCCAACACTTGCGCTCGCTTCAATCTGAAATCCCCCCCCCCCCCAAAAAATAAGGATTGCGTTGCACATTGGTCCTGTGGATGCAGTGAATGGGATTTTCGGTCTTTGACCACTTGCTGGTGAGCTGATCTACTCACCTCCCACCGCTTTAGGAGCTGTATCTGCGCCTTGATCCTTGAAGGGTGGTGGCGTTCCTACGGATGCGGAAAGCCCGGCTTCCAGCCGAGTCTCACGCGAACCGTGAAAAAAAAAATTGGTCCTGTGGCAATTCAATTATTAAGTGCCACCCCACGCCTGCATGAAAACAACAATACTGCCAATTTTATATCCTGAACAATATCAAACCTTGGTGCACGCACAATTTCCAACTCACTTGGGGCAGTCTACATATTCGTAGCGTCTCTACTTCTCTTGGCTGTGTCGACGTTTTTAAATGCTTGTGGCTTATATATTCAGCTCGCATAAACATTTCTTCTAGGTCAATACAAGGACTGTGAACTTTAAGCATGGGACTTCTCTCCTTAAAGTAGTGTATAACATCGACACTTTTCTGGATGGTGATATGGCCGACAAACGAAGGGAAACGGTTATCGCATCTTGGATCGACTCAAGTACTGCAGCAGTGAACAGCACGACATGGTTACCCGTGACTGAGATTGCAGCACCCAGCACATTACAGTTAAGTCAGCCTTCAAACACTTCAATGGCGACACAACTGTCATCCAGTTGTCCACCGGTGTTCAACCTGGGAGGAGAGCAAAACTCTGGTCAGCCTGGCAGAGAGTCGTCTACCGTTCCGGATGCGTCTGTGCTGCAAAGTGCCAGTACTAACCTTACACAGTCGGTTAATGCTGCTATCATCCTTACACCAGAACATACAGTGAAGGAGCAATTTCCAAACTTCCGTAAATCCCTTAGAAGTCTGGAGGAAGGGAAAAGCAAGCTTGATACTCTCACTCCTATACTGCAACAACCAACGAAGAGTATTCGTCCTGAGTTATATTCTACTGCTGAGCCCGTGACGGGAGCGTGTTCACCCGGCTTGTTGCAAGTGAGAGAAGCTAGTTCTGCCACCAGTTGTTATCCTACACAGTCCACCAAATCTTCTACCACTCCTACACTGGAACCAACTTTCGAGCGAATACCAGGAACTATGCACATCACATCACTTACAGACTTTTGGTCTGAACATGCTGTCATCGGAATCGCCTCCCAGTCGAAACCCAGTACTGGGAACGTACATCACACTTACCTGTGTAACTCTGCTTCTCCTTTTGCCCTTAGGACGTCACAACGGCAACACCAAGAGGACGTTTACCTTGGACAGAGAACAAGAGATTACGGAACAATTACACTTCCCTCTCAACCCCATATCAGTAACATCCCTGCATGCAGTTACACAACTGCTGGACTCATTAAGGTCTACACAGAGTCTCCAGACGTTAGCAGCTCCGCAGAATCATCGACACCTCGTTTGGACAAGACCGCATCGTTCTCTGGTGATGTACAAGGTGCTTCGCATTCAAGTATTGGCTTGTTCGCTGGAAACGAATTTATCATCCCAGTGAATACTCCCTCCCACTACAACGCCGAAGCTCCTTCTCCCAGCAAAGAGTCTAGTTTATCGACTGATGATATGGAGATGTTTTGCCAGTTGGTTGAGGAGACTAGGATAAGTGGAAAGCTCAATCAAGAACAATCATATCGAATCATATCGTGCACCATTTCGAAAAAACCAATTGTCTGTCCATGGATTTGTAAGAGGCATGTTTAATGCAGAGAAAATGTTAATTTTGTACCCTATATTCAAAGAATGGATAGATGGCGAACGCAGGAATGATAGTCCACGACGGAGTATAAGTCCGAACACATTTTCGAGACTCGGCAGGCGGCTTTCACAAGACGAATGTGCTATTCTGAGGCATGAGTATGGTCGAGATCCCAAGCGCTCTGAACAAAAAGAAATTGACTTGGCTAAAAGGTTTGGCATACAGAAAGGAGTCGTACATTGGTGGTACAGGAAACATCGGTCCTATGTGCGTCGTGTTGAGAGGAACAGTAAAAATAGCACTCACAAATCTAAAAATGCCCAAGACAAAACGGAAGAGGAGCCGCGTTATAGAGATTTTAGAGATTAAGAATCAATGATAAAATGCAAATGCTGGCCCAACAAGTTCATAAGTGTTCGCCATTCGAAATGCCCATTTCTCCATTTTAATAACATTGTGTTGCGTCCCTGAATCTCAGAATTGGTTCATAGTAGGTGTCATTGTTTTCAGAACAAAATGTGTCGGGTGTATTCATTCATGTAGTTTAGTGATGTCTACCCGTATTCCATCCTCACCAGTGTTCGTTTGTGTCTGGAACTGATGTTGTACTAGTAGCTGTTTTCCGTTTTCCGTCTTTGTGTTGTATTCGGCAGTTTAATTGTCTGATTTGTTTCGTTGAAACCGTATGAGAAGCCGGCATTTTTCTTGGTATTTTCACTGTCTATTCCAAGTACATTACGAGGAACAAGAAAATTTGAAATATTCAAAATTTGATCGTGCTTATGTCTTTAAAGTTTGGTCCATTCCCTAGGGATCGCGTTTCAACAGATTATGACATGTTTATTATTGCTATTGAGCTTGTTCGCGTTGCCATCAACAAGAAAGCTTAGCTAGCCTTCGCAAAACCAAATGAACAAAAGAAATGAGGAACTAGCGAGACCAATGACGTAAACACACAAGTACAACTGCAGAATAGGGGAATATACATGAACATGAAAACACAGTCCTAAAAACACACGAAATGTCAACTATTTACTTCAACAAATAACACTGGAAACTGAAGCGACGGTACATAGTGGCAAAGCAACATAACACCAGTATACATGATAGTACAATTCTACTCATAAACTTCAGACGAGAACCACGTAGTCGAAAACTAAACAACATGCGTAAACCGTTTTTAAATGCACAGACAATTTTCTAAAAGGTTTGAGCGATCAGGTACACGCATTACTTGCATGACGAACAAGGCAAACTTAAAATTCTGCAGCCGCTGCGTTGCCGGTGTTGAGGTGGCAGTTCCGTTGTTGAGGCCGTGCACGTCGTCGAGCTCGGTTAGTCGCCGCCAACTAGTCAGCGCAACCCCGACTTGCTTCCATCTTGCAATTACTACAATGCAACTTGATACCGTTTGGTGTTGTTGTGCCGCTTTGTCGTCTGATTTTGCGACCTATTGGACAAGTTCGTGGTCGGTTTTCGGCCGTGTTAAAAACTTGCATCATGCAGCAGGATACCGAGCGCGTATGTTTATGCAATGGGCCTTTAATGTGTGTAGTATATTACACGCATTTGACACCCTGCTTGAATTCTTCGGCAATGGCATTGCAATTACGATGGAGGACAATCTCACACCGCCAATTCTAGAGTGTGCGAGAAAGCCATCTGGGAACTTGCGGTCTATATTAACAGTGAAGATATCCCAGGATTTGCAAGTATTTACCAGTAGATCGTCAAGTGCCTGGAACTTAGTCCCAATAAAAAACACTTAATATAATAACAAGTAGATCCAAACGACATAAGTGTCACCGCGTTATTAGTGGCGGCTCATGAGGTGTGCAAAATTTAATCTCGAATACTGAGCAAGTAATAAATGTAAAAAAGAGAAGAAACACATGAGAACGAGTTAGGTAGCAACTATCCACGACTGTAACAAAATGATAAACGGTCAGAATGGGTCGCTGAATGTCTCAGGAGCCTGTCAGTTTTGTGCCATATTACCGCACTTTCTGACTGTTTATCATCTTGTTACAGTCGTGGAAAGTTGCTGCATAACTCGTTCTCATGTGTTTCTTCTCTTTTTTATATTAATTGACTCGAACTCTTTTGTATAAATTAAAATATTAATCGGAAAGAAGGCAAACGATGGGGCACAGGTTATACTTTATAGTCAACTAAATAAACCAGGTTTTGAACAACCAGACGTGCACAATGTAGCACTTAGACGGAAAAGAAGTGCTGAAACATTCCAAGACATTCTCACTTCCTTGCCGTAGATTGTCTCGGTACTCCTTGTCAGTCTAGTGTTACCTTGCTAATGTCTGATTGTTCAAAACCTGGTTTATTGCGTTGTATCTAACGTATACCTTGTGCACCGTCGCTTCCCTTGTTTCGATTTAAGGTAAGGTAAAAGAAAAATACAGGACAAATGGTTTACAAATGGGGCTTTACTGTCCACTAACACCACCTTTGTTACCACATACTTCGAAGTAATCAGATCATGCCGTAACATTGAGCGGCACTGCATAATGGTACTGATGTTCTTCAACAATCAGCTCTAGCACATGTTGGATACGCACACCTACAGCCTTCTAACTTGGAAGTTTATAATTCATGGTACATGTAATGACATTTGTTAGGTGTTTCAAGCCTTTTTTACGGGCAAAAATACCATTTTTATCAATGATAGAAATGCAACTAAAATCCAAAACAATTTTAAAATGTAAAGAATTCAAAGCAAATGAAAAAAACCTCAAAACAAATGGAAAGCACTCAAAGCAAATGAAAAAAACCGAAAGCAAATGAAAAGAACCCAATTAAAGAAAAGAACCAACAAGCCGCACACGGAGCACACAAGAGGCAACAGCTTAAATATGTAAAAATCCTCAAAAAACGTATAAATGAAATCCATAAATTTAGATCGAAACTGGAGCCTCCGACACAGCTAGTGCAGCAGGCGAAGCAGAACTACGGGACGTGCGAACAGTTTCCTGCAACCTCGGAGACACATAATACAAGAAGCGAGAAAGACAACTTACATCGAACATAGGCCATGATGTGTCGATACTGCGCGAACTTCTTTGCTGCCAGAAGAGCGGCCACCCTTCCGTACAATGCTGATGCCGCCTTCCCCATCCCTCCACTTGCCGACATCACCACTGGAACGAAAGATGCCTGCTCCACGTTCCTGACACGTTCCTCATAATGTCGGTTTCTTCTTCTCGTGGCGTTGATACACAGCGGTACGTGGTGCAGATCGATTTGAGCGAGCATATGGATTTAACACCCGACCATCAAGAAGGATTCGCTCAAATCGACTGCCCGACAAACCACTGGCAGCCACATCCAGTCGTGCATCGTTCTCTACATTAGCAGTAGAGATACCTCAACTGCTCGCCAGTTAGCGGCTGCAGAACAGGTTCAATGGAGACATTGGAGCACACCTGATCCAACAACTGGGCAGTTGTGTCCTGGATAGCGTTGTGTCTTATCGACGGGAGCCTCCATGCGGACACGAAAGCCAGTGCGACGCATTGCCTTCGGGGCCACAGGAGCATTGGAATGGCAGCCTTGCAGGTGTCCACCCATACTGGAGGCACAACCCATCCCAAACCTCCTGCTTGCTGAGAATAAAGCCATACTTCCTCAATGGGCGACACGTTAGCTAGTTCGACGATCCCTTCTCACGCGCAACTTCAATACTGTTGCGCAGGACCTCGGAGGAAGTGCTCATCACCGCCTCCATCCCAGCAAATTGTGCCCGCCGTATCGCCGCCCTGACGTCAGCCTTAGCCTGACTGATTAAAGTCAAGGCCCTTCCGAGGGTCCTCTCTCCAGCCAAAATTCTGTTGGTGAGCGACTCTGTGATGCGGGTGGAAGAAGCAAACTGTGCGCTCAAGGTCTTTGGATTGATGAGGCCCACATGAAATGACATAGGAGGGGTGGAAGGGTGCGGGCAACAAAGAGAAGCCCAAGCCGAAAGTCGCAGTTGTGAAGGACGTTCTTCCTTCTTCATGTATGTCGATGAAAATACCAGAAACGCCATTGGACAATACGGTCATACCACCATACAAAACATCTGGTGTGTTTTGTTCTTCACCAGCATAACACAAGTGATGCTGAGTAAACACACCCAGGGCTTCAGGGACTCGCATGATACCTGCTGGCAGTTGCAGCATGTGAGCACTCCGCCGCCAAAGTCGTGTAGTATAGTGGGTACTTTGATAGAGTCTGGTCGAGATATTATTGACAGCAGAGTCCAGCGCGCCAGTAGGTTCAGCATATTCAGCAATCAACTGGGCTCATCATAAGGCATGCATCGACTTGCCTTCTTGTACAGGGTTAGTCAGGCAGATGTTGCCCTGTACTGTCAGAAGAAGAACCATTCACATTGCAGGACATCAGGAAGTTGATCCAGTTTTTCAGTCAGTCTGATACATCCTCAATCCACCTGCAAAATATGACGCTCATACGACTAGATTCCCGAAGATTCCTACTCTGGGATGATATTGTCAGATTACAGCCAGTTAGCATCAATTTCTCAGCACAGTCGTCCAGTACATGAAGTACAGGACTGTCGATTTCATTACTGCTGAGCAGGCTGAGCGGCTACATCTACAAATTTACACCATGGTACGACTCTACAACGCATACGTTCTTCCTATCCTCACATACAATATTGGCTGCGCAGGCGTCTCTATGGCATTGGAAGACTCCCTGGATAAGATCCATCGCAAGCAACTTCGGCATATGCTTGGTATCTTCTACTCTCGTGTCGTGTCGACTGATGACCTGTATGAGCTTGCTCACACTGAGCCAATATCCGCTATGGCAAAGCGAGCGAGATGGCGTCTGCTTGGACACATCCTACGCCAGCCATCATCGACACCAGGCAATCAAGTAATGATTGCATACGCATCAATGGAGGACGCTGTGAGGCACAGGGGGGGGGAGCTCCAAGGTCCTGTTTCGTCACCACCCTCCAGCAAGACGTTCACCGCCATCGCATTGAAGACGAGCCGGTACCTAGAAACCCTCAGAAGTTGCGCAGTTGACCGCAGAAGTGGAGTAACATTTGTTCTGCGGTGGTGTGAACACACATGACCGGCTGTGATTTTGGTGTGGACACACATGACCGACTGTGATGGTCAATGATTTCATTTCATTTATCTCATTTTATGGATTTGTTTTTAATAAAGAGCTTTTCTGATGTGATGTATTGGAACTAATGTGAAATCTTCACCGTGATTGTTTTCGTCAAATATTATAATTATTATCTTCTCTTTTCGGTGGAGTGAACACACATGACCGGCTGTGATTTTGGTGTGGACACACATGACCGACTGTGATGTTCAATGATTTCATTTCATTTATCTTATTTGATTGATTTGTTTTTAGAAAGAGCTTTTCTGATGTGGTGTATTGGAACTAATGTGAAATCTTCACCGTGATTGTTTTCTTCAAATATTATATCATCTCTTTTCTCTCTCTGCCGCGGTGCTTTTTGTTACTTCATTGGCGTGAGTTCCCTTTGGAACGTAGACGAGAATTATTATTATTATTATTATTATTATTATTATTATTATTATTATTAACTGGTTTGAGGGAAAGAGACAAACGGGAAAAGTCTGAAGAAAAAATTGACTGTCACCACCAGGACTCGAACCAGGGACCTTCGCTTGTAGCCAGCGATGCTCTAACCACTGAGCTATGGTGTAGTCGTCGTCCAAGCAGAGGCCGTTCAACATTTTCTTCAGACTTCGTAACTCACACTTCCT